CTACTCAAATCACAAGTGTCCTGTTTACGTGTCGAGTGTGCTTACTTTCTGCTAGTGTTTGAAAATTTTTAACCTAACAAGTTCACGATTATGGCTCAATCAGAAACAGCATGCCCATCAGTAGCTCTTAACGCAAAAACTGAACAAATTCTGAAATACGTCGATATGACCAATGATTAAGTGCTTGATCAGATGTTCAAATTCATGGATCGTTTGATGCCTAGTATTGAATGCTTAAATGCGTCAATTAAAAAGCTTAACCGTCGCGTTTTGAAACAGGAAGCTGCTGACAAAATGCAACCTCCATCTACATTACCACTCTAAGAGGAGATAGAAGATATAAAAGAAAATATAAAACTCACTGCAACTCAATTCTCTGAATCTGTAGCTGTCAACCTGACTGACCAGTGCGAGATGTTATTGTCTGGCTTGCCATCTAACCTGGAACTATCCGACGATCAAGTCCTTAAAAAGACCTTCTCCACTATGGGCCTGGAACATCATGAGCAATTTGTGACGAGGACTCGTAAATGGAAACCGAGGGACTCCTGCTCTGTCAAAAAACCCACTTATGCCATCGTCTTTCAGTGTTATTCTCCGATTGTACGGAATGGACTCATCGCTCAATCTTGTAAGCTTTCAAGAGTCGATAATAAGGCTCTGTTTAATACTGGTGGTGAATCGAAGCTCTCATTAAGTCCTCTATGGCCGAGAAATACGTATAATCAGCTTTGCGAAGCAAAATCGCTAGCTCGTCATCGCCATTATGCTAGCCCAATTGTCCGAAACTTAATTGTCCTCATGCGCAAGTCCCCTCTGTCAGAATTTATACCCATTCACTCTAAAATAAATCTAGATTCAGTATTCTCGAATCCATAACGTACCTCTTTTTTTCCTATGTAACATTTCATCTACGTACCCTCCTGACTGTTTTATGCATTTTCTCCTTTCACCCTTCGTATTCATCTATACTGTATTTAATATTTATAATTTCTTTTTTACTCAGCTTTCAATTTGTTTTTCGTTAAATTATGTATGCTTATCACTATACTTCGCTGTTCTAATTGTGAATAATACCACCAAAGCTTTGTAAATGCATCTACTTACGTTTACTTTGTATTTATTATAATTTTTGTTCTGCTAAACTGCCGTTCTGGCCTCATGTGGTTATACCTCAAGGCCAAAATAAAAACTTATCAATTAATCAATCAATCAAATCTCTCTCTCTCTCTCTCTCTCTCTCTCTCTCTCTCTCTCTCTCTCCCTCTTCTTCTCTCTTCTCTCTCTGTGAGTATAGCAACACGCACTTGTTTCTGCTCCTTTGTTTTTTTGCTTTTTGTACTGCCTCGACCTGCCTACGGGCATTTTTTTTGCAGATTCTTGCACGCTAATTTTGCAAGGGTAAACTGCAACTGGACCGCTGGTATTGTTGTTTCCCTTGCATTGTTAAAAACGCATCTTTAACACCTACTCCGGCTCATCGAGGTTAAGTTGCCGCAACGTGTGTTCGAAATTTTGCGCATGCGACGATCTGCTCTTGCGCATCACTTGCTCGCCGATCAACGTCTAGGGTGAAGGAAGAGCCAAATTTTTCTTTAACGAGTGCCATTCGACGTTAGCTGTTCGTCACTCTTGATTTTTCGTCAACCCCTCAACTACCTTTCAACTCATTGCTGTGTCTTATTGCCGTGTGTAGTGACTTAATCTACGGCAATCTGTGTTGTGAATTGTGTGAAGATCCAGTGTGCTAACTGATTTGACTGTGCCGTCTGCTGTGAAGTCTATAGATACGTATTGCGATAGTTTATTTCTGCTAAGATGGCAGGCACCGGAGCTTCACTGCAGCACGAGCTTCCACCTCAACTTGGTGACTTCCTTCTGCGTCTTGACACGAAGCTTGACAACCTCTCTGCACACCTTGTGACCATCGAGGCGTCGATGTCCCGGCTTGAAGGCCGGATTGAGGCTCTTGAGACGCGGTCTGAGCATCAGGCCGCCGAAATGGCCGACATCCGCGCTGACATTGATGGACTGAAGAAATCTGCTGGCTCTGGCTCTGCCTCTGGCCCTGCTCCTGTCCTGCCCAACTTACTGCCTTCACCGGCTGGTTCACATCTGTCGGACCCGTGTGAGATTTTACTCACTGGACTTCCGACGGATGTGAATTTAACTGACAAAGAGGCTCTTAACAGAGTATTTACCGCCATGGGGCTAACAGACTATAACAAATTCCTGGTTCACACTCGTGCATGGAACCCTAAAAATAGAAACAAGCCCGCGCCTGATAACACCAGAGCATTTGTATTTAAACTATCATCTCCAAGTACTCGTGACCACTGCATAGTGAATGCGTCCAAGCTAGCCTCAGTAAATACAAATGCACTATTCGGCGTGGGTGATGGCAAAGTGAGACTACGTCCTTTGTGGCCAAGCAAGACCTATAGTTTGCTCCAAAAAGCCTATGATACAGCTCAAAAGCTGAACCTTGATCCACCCATAGTGCGTAATCTCACGGTTTTCATGTGTGAAACTAATGGAACAAAACCAATCCCCATATCAACCGAACACGACATCAGGGCACTAAAAACGAGGACGAGATGACAAGAACCACGCAACACTATATCATGATATGCTAATTTTTTCTCGACCATTACTGTGTAATACTACTACTATTGCTACTATTACTACTAGTGTTACTAAACCATTACTACTACAATATGCTATTTACTGCTACTACTGTTACTATTATAGCTACCACTTGACTTACTAATACTATTACTACTGCATTCTACTATGCATGTATACATACACTACTTAGATACTATGTACTACTATTTGTTACGCCACGTTACATAATTATAACTTACTATTAATGTTGCTGTTATTGTTAATATCAGCAATTTTATACATAAATGTAATTACCACTGTGCCAGATGGGGCTTGCCCTGCGGCCGAATAAAATTTTTCAACTCAACTCAACTCAACTCTCTCTCTCTCTCTCTCTCTCTCTCTCTCTCTCTCATCGGAGAGAACAGCTTGGTTGGAGTAGAGTTGAGGACAGGCGTTTTTTCTTGCTCTGCTGTGCTGTTTATAATATTTTTCGGACGGGCCTGCCTCTTCCACTGTATAACAAAATGTCTTCTCTCACTATCGAGCTGCGTAGCTCGGCGAGGCTAAATGTTGGTGCCAGAATCCACATTCCAAATAGCGATACTTCGGCATATGCCGCTTCATTTTTCCAGGATGCAGCACGATGCTGGAATACCCTCTCTTACAGCGCTCAAAATGCATCTTCTTTGACACGTTTTAAGACATTGGTGTTGGACGAGTTGCGCAGTCGTGTTAGTTAAAGAGCATCACCCATTGTCATCCATTGTACTTCATTTTTCCATTTAGATTCGTGTTTTTCATCTTTTCATTCTTATTGTCATTGTTATAAATCAGAAATGTACTTTTCGTTCTATACTTAGAAAACCAAAGATATTTTATAGCCTGAAATCTACGATAATCTACGATAATCTATGTAATTTACGATGATCTATGTATGTATGTCCCTTGTTTTTTTTGTTATCTTGTTAAATTTGATGTTAAACTTTTTCATGCGTTTACCTTGGTGTATTCACCGATGATAAATTGTTGTTGCGATTATTATGTTACGTTATTACTGTATCAGTTTTTATTTTATTTTACTGTTGAAAATTCTATTGTAATAATTAATTATTTACAAAATTGTATTATTTCTATGTATTTGTCAGTGAGGCATACGGCATTGCCTTGCCTAATAAACACGATTCAATTCAATTCAATTCTCTCTCTCTTTCTCTCTCTCTGAGACCCTGAAGCATCTTTCATAATAAGTTTCATGATAATTGTAAATAAGTTTTAAAAAAATTACAACAGTTCTTAAATGTGGGTGTAACACCCCTTGAAAAAATTTCCTGTAGGATCCTGCGAAATTCCTACAGAAGTCCTATCGGATTCATGTAGGAATTCCGCAAATCATACATGAAATTTTTTCAAGGGACTAGACTTTTACATTGTTTGCTTGTCTGAATATCCCAAAGGTACAGACAGATTCTCAAAAAATAAGTTTTTACATGAAAAAAGCCGTGCTCATGAAATACAAAACGTGACGGAAATATCTCTGCTAAACTAATAATGCCATTTTGTTTCTAAAAACAAATCATATCATCGTTTTCAAATTTTTCTCAGATTATTCCATTTAAATTTTTTGGAGGTTTAAAAAATTATTTTACACTTTTTGCGAAAATAAAAAATAAAAAAAATACCCCTTTTTGGCATAAACAAACCTCTTAGCCAAAATCTGAATTTTGGCATTCGATTTCACAAGTTAGCAACCTAATATTAAGAGCAATTTTTAGAGCTTTTTTGGCGAATTTTAGAACCAAGTTTTAAAATTTTAAGAATTAATCAGCACAACTTTCTATCCGAATTCAATAAGCATAGCTTTTTCAATATACAGACTTATTTTTCAAGAATTCGATCGTACCTAAGGGATGTACAAATATCGATGCAAAAGGAATTTGATCTAGTGATTCATATTCATTTGACAATCAACGCATGTACTAATATATGCTATGTTATATGGAATATAAAACGAATAACGATACATTAAAAACTTTTGGAAATTCATGTTAATAAAATACTTCATACTAATTTGTATAGAAATAATGACATGAAAACTAATTTAAACTGATCATTTCAAATCAACGTTTCTGAGAAACTATTTCTGGATGTTAATATGATCTTTTTAAATGTAAAAATACTTTTATTTTGTTCAAAATGAGATTCTTTTCCAGAATTTAATTTAGTATTATTGATTTTAGTAATGATTTAATTATATATTATTTCAATTAAAAGATTGTGAAATTTACAAAGTGAACAGATTGGGTTGTATAAGTTTTAATTTAAAATTTTTCTAAAAAAGACTACATTAGTTTAAACACAAAAACTCTTGATTGTTAAATTGAATCATTTACCATTATTTCCTTCGTTATAGATAAATATCGATAAAATTGTATTATTGTATAAATTTCAATTCAATCTTCACCAGACTACTCAAAATAATCTTTTAAGAAATAATTGATTCAATTTAGGAACGATAATTTACCATTTCTTGTTAGTTACATTAGTTAGATTCTGAATATTATAATATAGCATGTTACTCGAATAAGATAATTGTAGTTATTTATAAACAGATTGTAGAAGTATTTTGATATTTCATTCAATTTGCATGCTATAATCTTATAGATTTGATATTATATAAATGGATCATCAAATATCTTAAAATAAATATTTCTAATGATCAATTTTAAAAAACTAATCTAAGCTATAAGCGATCTAAAAATGGTATAGAAAAACTAGCAATGGTGGTTATTGAAAAAATGAGGAGAGAAATAAGGCTAAATATTTTTTATAGTTTTTCAAAATTTCCCTTTTACAAATAAATACAATTTTTAACGATAGTTTACTGAAAAATATTTTATATTCCATGATATATAAACCATAATGCAATAATTGGCTTATTTTAATAAGAACAAGGCATAAAAATACTGAATTCAGTATTTAGACACTGAAAGGACCGAGGGATTTATCGGGCATTAAAGAATTTTGAAATTTTATTTATATGCGTTCAGCAGTTGAAATAAATAATTCACTTATCTCTTACGAAAAAATCGTAGAATAAAGTTCTGCAGGATTTGTGTAGGACACGATTTTGTAGGATTTCTTACAGAAAAAATAATGACGGTTATAAATCTAGTTTTTCCTGAAGAAATTTTGATACTTTAGGCCAAAGACAAATTGGTCCAATTTTCAGAATTAACGGAATTTCTGCATTTACGCGAAAATCTACAAGAATCACGTTTTTTTCTGTCAGAGTTCCTACAGGAAATTATTTTTCTGATGGATTCTTGCAGGAAATCTAAGCTTAATTTTTAAAGGACTTCTACTGGAACTTTCCCTTTTTTTCTACAGGGGTTCTACAGAAATCTCGGGGTTTTCTCAAAGATTACCTATTTACCATATAGAGTTCATTGACGTCTCAGATAATTCTTACAATAATATGTAATAACCCTGCTGAAAGTAATCAGATGATTCATCAGGTGATAAATCAGGCTCTGAATCAGCTGATTTATCAGACGATTTGTCAGTTCAAAACTTCAGCTGATTTAACAGTTGCTTTTTTCCAAAATATAAACCATCGAGTTTCAGCTCGATTGATTAATAATAACTAGCACGACTGTTAGCGCGCTGCGCGCGCCCTCTTCTGTCTTTTTCAACTTGGATTTTTTTAAAATAAGTTAAATATAATTTTATTTTATAATTAACTTGTCGCGATTTACTGATCCAAGTCTTATTGGCAAGTAACGTCGTGGCTTGTAACGACAGTCCAACTCCGCTGCTGCCGCTTAAGCACGCCCAAAGAGGTTAGTAATGACACATTTCGCGGCGCCACTAATGCTCTCCGATGGACGACCAATCCCAGCGCGAATAAACTGCTATCGCTAAAATCCTCACCACCTTTCTAAAAGAGGATTATACACTCGGCAACAAAATTATCGCAACAAAAAAATTCATCGACATTTTGTCGATTTTCAAATGCTTCTATCTTGAGCTAGATTTATCGTATCGACACGCATTTTTTTTTAATTTCTTAGACATTTTGTCCTCTTTAGTATTTGAGCGTGACACTAAAAATTACTGAAAAATAATGAGTAATTAAATTAAACGGATGATCCGACGCAGTACGGAATCCGTACTACGGATCCGTTCTGGGCTGCGAGCAGTCCTTGGACATGTGTCCATACTCCTGACAATTGTAGCATCGAAACTCGCCTTTCTTATTCCTCATTGGCTATTTGACCCGATCGCCCGTCCGTGATGCCTTTTTTCTCGGCTGACGACCTGTCGACAGAGCCGCTTTGTTGCTTCTTTGAGCTTGAATTTGACGATGATTGCATCGTCCGCATGCATTCTTGTCGCTGGCGAACTCGGTACTCGTAGTCGAGCATATCATGCAATAACGTGTCTACATCGGCGTGCGTTCTTGCCGACATGGCGTTGAACAAATCCCTGGACCACAGACCCACGAGAACTTGTTCCTTCATTTCCTCCGTGCTCAATCTCAAATCCACGCATAATTTCACTTTATTGTGAAAGTACTGTTGAATCGGTTCATCCTTGCGTTGAATGCGCTCGGACATCCGTTTCCACCGGCAGACCGTAGTATCCTGGCGCACATAAGTAGTTCAGAACTTATCTGGAAATTTTGTCCAGGTGTCCAGGATGCGTCTACGGGCCAGGAACCAATCTCGCGCGCCCTGGATCAGGTGCATGCGCACAGTTTCAAGGGCGAACTCCTCGGGCCAATGGTGAAGCGTGCACATGCTCTGAATGTTCTCGAACCATTCACGAGCTTCTGCCACTGACTCATTTCCGGTGAAATTCTGGATATTTTTCGTCAAGTCAGGCATTACTTGAAAGTTCTGCGCCGCTGGGACGGGAGCTGCTGATCTTCCGGCTTGAGTGGCCGTTACAGTTTCGCTTAGCTGTAACAGGACTCGTTCCATTCTTGCATCGCGATGCTCATCTCGACGCCGATTCTCCTCGATCATCGTGGCGAGGAGGACTTCCAGGTTACGTGAGCCTTGACTCGTCGACTCCAAGGATAGTGTAGGTAGGCCAACTGAAGGATGCCGACAATTATGTAGTCGATATAATTATTATACAAAACATTATATAATTCTTTTGATCGTTGAAAAATTGCAATAGCTGAGTCACATTTCATTCTACCTGAAGATCCAGTGTGATTAGCTGAGCCTTCTTCTTCATGTTCCTCATGCCACATTGTAAACTCAACTTCAGTGTATTTTTTTTATGTTGAATACAAGCTAAACAGAATGATGATTTAACATTCAAGTCTAACACTTTTCCAGAATATTTACCAACTATAGTAAATACACCAATTAAAGAGGTGAATTCTCTTTTCATCCAAGTTCCATCTCCTGACACTAAGAGATAAGTAGGCGTATTACCGTTTTCTTCGTTCCATTTGATTTTTTCGTTAACGACTTTTTTTGTAACAAAGTCGTAACATTGTTTAGAGACATTATGGATTCTTGAGATAGCACCATAATATAAATTATGCGAAAAACTAGAATTAATATTCATCAAACTCAACTGTTAATCCATTATGACCCAAGCCGAGAACTCTGGTTACAAAAACTATTCTTTGGTTTATTTTTCCACTTCGCACTGGGAGAGTTGACGTTAAATGTCACATATTTGAAATCGATTGAGACGATTTAATAAATGTATGTTCACATGAACATTCAAGACATAATTGCCACCCAACACCTCTACTTCTTTGTTGTGTAAACGCAATTTTACCATTGTACTAGTTACATTCAACGTATTCAGAAAGTGTAGAAAAAACTTAATTAAAGCACAGAATCATGAAATTGATGGAAAAGTTAGTAGGAGTTTTTAAATCATTATTCTTTTTTAACTTTTTGGCCGAAGTACTTGGTAATTCTCCGTCCTCTTTCTCTGTGAACTGATTTCCTCGAAATTTTCTTTTGTAACAGTAATGCTTTCGTTTCCTTTTTCAATTAGTTTTTGAACCGCCACCATTTTGCGTTGGGGTCATCGTAGATACGTTTTTTAAAATTTAATTTTCTAACACGTTATAATTTATGCGAAATAAAGCTCTATTCGAGAATAAAGTTACTAAGACACTAAAGAATTCTTTTTAATTATGTCAATAAATCAAATTTTTCATTGATAGGATATAAATATAAACAAATGACGTATACAATTAAAGTAAGCCGATCGGGCCACTCGCGCCGTTCTCTACACGTCAAGCGCGTGAGTCTCTTCGCGTAATGGGCCATAACTTTTTTCCTTTATAAATTTCGTTCTAAAATTTTAACAGAGTATTTTCATGATGTTAAAGAACGATTTTATGTAAAAAAAAAATCGATTTTTCAAAATTTGCAATGGGAATGTCCCTTTAATAAAATTATACGAGTGTATATTGTAAAAATTTGATAATTTTAGAACCGTACCCCCTAATTCGCATAACTACCGTAAGTCCACTTTGGACAGACTAAACAAATGACGTCATACAATAACATATGACGTCATATGTTGAGTCATCATCCAGAGTGGACTTATGTTTATTATAAATATTGAATTACTACGAATATCGGGTTACAATATGTATTTTTTCGATTTTAAAAAAAATTCAGTGCATATATATTTTTTATAATGAACTAGTTATAATTTATTATTATTTTTTCAAGTATAAAAATTTATTGAATATGTGAATTTAATATTTAACTAAGGTAAAGTGAGAAACAATTCAATTTTTTAATATTGTGAACCAAGAGGATTGAGGAAATGATGGGTTATATTTAAATCATAAGATGTGGGTTAAATATGATTTTTTTTTTATTATTCATTTATTATCCAAAATACAGCTGAGCAATTATTTTTGATTTACAATACTATATTAATAATATGACCAGTGTTGCTGGCCGGCTCTTCCGCTCTTTTAGCTTCTGAAATGAAAGAAAAATATTAGTATTATAATCATCTATTTTTTTTTTTATATTAATTTAATTACCTCTGTTTTTGATATAGTCTTCTAACCACCCCATATTATTTTCAAGTTGTTTTTGGTCCGGTATTGGACGCCCTGGTTCTGGAGATTTCGGGCGTTGTTGCTGACCGCAACCATATAGTCGACGCCGCTCCCTACGAGCGCGGCGTTTATCAGCTTTCGAACGGATGGCTGGTCCACGCTTGGGGATGTAAGCTAAATATTCAGAAGCATCCCAATCTGAAATTGAAAAAAATATATATATAATATTGAAAATATCTTATACTTTTCTAATATGAAAAAATTAATGAACTTACTCTCTAACGTTGTTCCCCTCGGTTGCTGATGTTGAGGTGATTGCAACTGTATAGGCGGCTGTTGTTTTTGTTTCTCCTCGAGGTCACGTATTAAACTGTCATAGACGCGTATTTGAAAGTATTCCTGTAGAGTATAAACGTTTAAGATTAGTATTTGATGAATAGATAGCAGATGT